GGGGGGGGGGGGGAATGTTTTCCCTTCAAATGAAATCAAAACTCAAATAACATCTGTGGTATGTTACTTGTATAGGCTGTGATTATGTGTTCTTGGCAATTCTGCCTTTTTTTTTTTTAAACTGCCAAGTTACCTGTTAATTTGCACCTACATTTTGTTTTTAAAGATACTGATGAGAAGATATAATAAGGGGCTTGATGTAGTCTAAACACTAGTTCTGTAAGTCATACAGGGCAAGTTTTATGGCAGTTTAAACAACATAATATATGCTAGTTCAAATACAGGAACCATTCAAAAGGGGATGTCTGTGTAAAGAGAGGCTGCACAAATATTGAAGTTCTTTAAATGTAGTTTAGGAACTAGAGAAAATATGAATGAGTAAAGGGTCAGAAAAGTCTACTGAATTTTAAAGTGCACAATGTGATAGCATGCTTCAGGGAAAAACTACTCGGTGTGCGTCTTCCTATCATAATAAGATGATGATGCAAATTCATCTGACTTCCGTAACCTTTTTTATGTCTTTACAAAGAAGAGAGCTGTTTTTAAGGACCGTGCAGGCTTTACTGCTGGGTATTTGACCTTTTAATAAAGTTTAAAACCTGTATGAACTCCTTCATGTCACTTAAAATAGCGAAAGGTATTGCAGATTACATGGAGAATAGGCATGGGCTAGAAATCTGATAAATGGTATCAACATCGTGTCAGAGATGCTCAAAACTTAAAAAGGTTTGAGTTGAGGAAATGTTATACAGAAAATTGGTGTTAGACTTTGCCAGGTATGTTAGGGGGTGGAATACTACTGGTCACACAAGGCTCCCTCGGTTTGGATGGTCTGTATGTGTGCTGTTAGATACCTCTGGTTACTGTACCACTAGCACGTCTAATGACCTTGTTAGTTGTAATAAAGAGACCACAGGCTCCAGTTCTTAGTAACGAGGACTTTGTGGTACCGTGAAGTCCTTTGAAGGATACAGCAGGAAGTGTGAGGTGACAAGCAGACGACGCCTGGCTTGGGAGCCAGCTGCCTTCCCTGCCTCCTGCTGTGCAGGTCTCAGGATTCCCCAGGAAAGTAGGGGGTGGGGCTGTCCTCCACTTCTGGCAGTCCCAGGACCTGCATGGCAGGGAGTGGGAAAGGCAGCAGGCTCCATTGCGTGGGGCTTCCCCCGGTGGCGTTCGAGTGCTGGGAGCTGCGTGTGTGCCATGGGGAGCTCTGCGGGATACAGGCAGGCTGGTCTGGTGGCACTCCTTGCCACATGCTGGTGGGTGACAGTGCCTGCTGTACGCCATGTGTGGGGGAGGAGAATGTGTGAGGGGTCCTCACACCCCACACGCAACCATACCCCATCCCATACCCCCCCCACAGGATATACAAGAGTAAGACTTTACCTCTGTATACACTACACAAACACAAATCTTGACAAAATATTTTTGTAATAAAATGAAAATGTTATAGTAGGCATATGACTTTTAATGTATGATTTGCATTTTTTTTTTTTCTGGTTCCAAGATGGCAACCCTCCCCTCCCAAAAGGAGTACTTCTGGGTGCAAGAGGAGAGACTTCCAGTGGTAAAGGTCAGGGGTTAGGGATGCGACTTCTGATCCCAAGATGGTAACTGGGGAGGAGGGTGGGGAGGGGGGCTGTCAAGGGGCAGGGCTACCTTTGTGGCCCTTGACAGCTCACCAAAACTCATTTAGCTGCCCTCCAGCTGAAATTATTGCCCGCCCCTGAGAAAGGAGGATCCATTTTACCAGGACATTCTGAGCACTGCTTTGGTGCCTTATACCCTTCTTATCCTTTGTACATCTGTTGGTCTTCTGAAATGTCTAGAAGTTAATCTGGTTTCCAAGCACTTTTACTTGGGCCATATATAGCCTGCTTTTTGGTCACCAAAGTCTATGGCTCAGGCTCTTACTGAGGCATGCTTTGGTTTATGCTGCTAACTGGTCTCTCTGACTTCTTTATGTACTAATCAGTGATTGCACCAATCCATGCTTCAGTTTAGCATACAGTTGGTGCCATGGTTATGCTGTTATGTATAAATTCTCAAACAGTAATGAGCTGTGATGACATTTTTTTCTTCATTGTGAGATATTCCAAGTATTTAGCCACTTTAAAAATAAACAGTCCAGCTGAAATCAGATCTAGCTACTGAAACTAACTGTTCTTTTAATTTTGTGTTCATTTGAGGATGGGCAGCAAGACTGTTTTTAGCAATAGGCTTAGAAGTAGGAGGATTTCTGAGTCAAATTGAAAAATGTTACCAGGGTTAGAAATCCACAGAGACTGGCAGCTTTTATACCCTGGTAAATAAATAGAAACTTCTAGTTAAACAGCTTGATTTGGCACCAAGGTGTCACCAGCTAATGGTAGGTTGGTCTGTGTGACTACTGGTCTCGGTATCGTAAAACATCCTCTCTAGTCTGTGATCACATCAAAAAGGGGCAGTGTTAGGGTTGGATTGTAAGTGAATTCATCACTTTCTAGAGAGAGTCCCATCAGGTTAGACTTGAGGCATGTCAACCATAAATTAATAGATTGTAGAGTCGAAAGGGACCACAAAGGATCATTGTACCCAACCCCCTGCCCCTGGCAGGAAAGAGGACTGAGGTCAGATGACCCCAGCCAGGTGACTGTCAAGCCTCCCCTTGAAGACCTCCAAGTTAGGTGATAGTACTACCTCTCTTGGAAGCCCATTCCAGATTCTGGCCATCCTTACTGCAAAAAATGTCTTTCTAATGTCTAACCTAAATCTGCTCTCCACTAGTTTGCACCCATTATTCCTAGTTACTCCTAGGAGTACTCTGGTAAATAGCACATGTCCAAATCCCTGTTGTCCTCCCTTGATAAATTTATAGGTGGCTACATTTCTCCCCTCAGATGTCTCTTGTGCAGGCTGAAGAGATCCAGATCCCTCAACCTCCCCTTGTAGGGTCTTCACGGAGGCCACTAATCGTGCGAGTGGCCTTCCTCTGAACCCTCTCCAGATTCTCCACATCCCTCTTGAAGTGCGGCGCCCAAAACTGGACACAGTACTCGAGGTAGTTCATGGTGTTGGCAGTGGCTTATCTAGTCTTTTATGATAGCACTTCAATCGTCATGGTTCATAACTAAGGACTTACTGAAAGTGCCATTTCACAGAAATCATCAAATCCAGCATGGCCTGTAAAAGTGGGCAATATCTGTAAAATCTGGGGTGGGGGATAAAAAGCTTACTGAAATTAAAATGCTGGATCTCCAAAGGGAGCTACAGTCCTCATGGTGCTGTGGCCTGGCTGTGCAGCTCTCCAAGGGGGAAGGAGAGAGAAGGGGCTGCATGCACAAAGGGCAGCCCAAGATGGCTGCTGCTTCCACCCCTCGCTGCTGAGACGGTTGTCTGTTTGTGGCCCTGCTCCTCCACCAGTCAGTGGTGAAGGGTAGCGCCAATCGGTGGCGAGGGGTGGAGCTCCTGAGCCCCTCAACCAATCAGAGGTGTGGACAGGGCCCAGCGTGATCAGACTGTGAACCTGCTATCTCCTCCCGAAACTGGCCAGCCCCCTCTTTGAGGTAGTAGACCCCTACTTGTATCTGTTTTTCAAAAGCAGTCTGCTCACTCGCCTTTTTTTTGCAAGCTGGCCTAATCATTATATTATAAATGAACTGACTTCTGAAGCATGGCTTTCACTTCATTGTTCTGGAACTTTTTGTATTTGCATTCTGAAAGGATCATGTCGTTCAGGTTATTAGGCTGTTGTTTTGAAAATCCCACTGACATGGCAATTTTTACTATGTGATTAATTTTAACAAATTGGTAGCTGATTTTTGTAGTGTGTTTGTTATTACCCATACACAATGTTCTAGCTGATACTTCTTGAAGTTTTAATTAGAAAGTGTTCTTTAGTTCCATTAGTTCAGCATCTGGCTTTCTTTTGATGTTCTTTGCAGATGACAGCTGAATGACGAATAATTGTACTAAGTGTAATAAAGACCCCTTGTGAAAGCTTGAGAATGGTTCTGTCACTTAGCACTTTCTTTGGAGCTGTGTTTATGAACGTCAAAAAGAGAGAACATTTTTTGCTCAACTGCTTTTATCTATTGCGCATATAAGCAGAAATATTCCACCCTCTGCCGCAAGGCCCTCTGTAGAAAATGTATGTGTGTTGGAACTGTTCTTGCAGTCACCTGAGAGTGGTGTGCGCTACACAGCGAAGTTCAAGTCTGTGGTACGGTTTTGAGAGGATAACGCCAGATGGGACGCTAATTGTTCTTTTAACAATTAAGCAAGATCTCTATTCTTTCCGTGAGAATTCAGCGTTACAGTAGCCCTTCTGTCCTGACTTTCCATTTTCTGCATTGTCCTCCAAGCTTTCACTTGATAAGCTATAGAATTTTTGAGTTACTGACTAAATGCATCAGAAGCAGAGACAGCAGAATAGTTTATTGGCAGCTGCATAAGGGGGCGCTTGGGACTTTTGTCCTTGGGAATTGTGAAATAAACATCCAATTAAGAATTTCTACTAAATGTGATTTAAGCAGTGAGATGGCTGACTGTCACTTCCATTTTCCTGCTCAGATTTCATGTTTGAAATTTATGAAAGAGGAATTTCTAAGCATGTGTATGCTAAGAACTTAACTGTAGTAGGGGTGCTTAAGAAATACTGAAAACCATAATAAAGTGATTCAAAATTAGTTTCAGCATGGTGTTGACTTTAAGTCATATTGCAGTACTGCCTGGCACCCCAGACCTATTGTACAAGACGCTGAACAGCCATAATAGGCAACTTCTACTTTGAACAGCATGCAATCCTACTGGGAGAGTTTTTATATCCTAATACAACTAGAGTCAGTAGTTTGTGGTTCATCTACACTAGTGATTTTTAAGGCTGCCACTTCTTGTTGCCACTTCCTTAAAAGAATTTCGCTGTAGGCACATCCCAACACATTGACCAGGGAATTTGCTGACACCGACTAAATTTGCTAGTTGGTTATCTATGAGGGTCTTTTGTTCAAGTCTTAACTTGAGGATTGCAGGAAAAATAGCTCAGGCTTATCTTAGGCTTTTATGGGTAGCTACATAACCTAAGTATACCTCAACTGTTGCGTGTCAGATTCTGTATGGTGATTCAGGACTGGAATAGCAGTGGTGTTGCAGTTCTGGATTTGGTGCAGCAGCAGCCTAGCAATGCAGAGAATCTATCATAGTGTCTCTCCTCAGCATGGTTGGTGTTAACTATAGTGTGCTGCTAGTACCTCAGTTTCATGTTTTAAAAAACGTAATGACCTTCCTATCCTAAATGCTTGTAGTTTTAAGACTGAGCAGTTACCTGATGGTTTTTAAAACCCAATTAAGGCATGGAGCAAAATCCTTGCATCATTTCCAGAGTAAATGGTAAATCAAACCAGTCTTCACATGTGGTCGCGTTTGGATATGCAGGTGGGAAAAGTTCAAGACCTTTGAGAGATGGTTCCCCCCACCCCACAAGAAGTGAAGAACAAAAATAACTAGGCAGTGGGGAACCCTGTTCATTCTCTTGCAGTAATATGTCTCCTGGAGAGATCCAGTTTTAGCAGAAAATGGTAGTAATATTAATAGAAATGTTCTTTGCAGTCTTGGGGAGGGGGGGAATAAAATCCGATCAAGTTGAAGGCTTGTTTTTGGGTAAGGTTCAATATATATTGAAATATTTTAAATAGTGGAGTATTTGTATTAAAACCATACCTCCTTTATTCCCCTGTATATCTCTCAATACCTCTTGAGGATTAGTTTTTTGTTTGTAAATTGTTTAAAGATAACTATATAAAATTCTACATGGCTTGTTAACCCCTGTCAGGGCTTTTAGAAAACCTTTCAGTGATTTTAAATTTTTCTCAAATGTCCCCCCTTCTCTACCTCCTCTTGCCTTCTCTGAAAAAAATGATGTACATCAGGGCTAAAGTAAATGCCTCCTGCACAAGATGTCAGGGTTTGTTTGTTTTTTTTCCCAGGTAACAATTTGAGCCATAGAAATAATTGAAACTGCAGCAGGGTCTCTTCAGAATATTATCTTTGGAGAATGTGAGGCCATAAACGCTATGCATGCTGACTAGAAAAATGACTGCAGTAGTCTTCAGGGTTTTGTTGTTGTTGTAGTTTTTTACTCTGTTCTGTTTGTCTAGGGCAATTTCTTCCTCAAATCTTACTTTTTTGCTTTCCCAATTGGCTTGTACCTGTGTCTGCTGCTTGTGCTACTGTGCCAATATCTTTAGAGTTTCCTGTCACAATATCCTTTGTAAGATTTCATTTTTTTTGCAACATCATTGACTTTTTGTACAAAAATACTAAAATGTTTATACTGTTAATGTGCTGCTGTTTTTCTCATGTAACATTTGAGGGAGGTGTTAGAGGGGAAAAAAAACCGTAGTCCACACTTCCTACTTTTTTTGCCTTGTGTGCTTAACCTTGCTGTGGTAGTGCAGACGGATGTCTGGCTGCTTGCAGTTGGTGTGAGATACAAGGAGTGTACCTTTCATAGAGGGGGAAACATCTTTAGAATCACTTTTTTTTTTGGAAACTTACTCCTGTTGAAGCATCTTGGGGGAACTACAAGGCATTTAGATGAAAAGGGTTATTTTTCAGTGTTCAGAAGGGCTATTTGGTAAGTCACAGTTCCTACACCGCATTTCTTAATCTGGGAGTTGAGGGGTGTGGTTTTATTTCCAGTGTAGAAGGGGAAGATGAGTCTCCAGTTTGAGGATTTTCAGAAGCATGTCAATATAATTCTTATTCTGGCAACTGCAGTCTGCTTACATTGTTCTAGTATGCTCACTGGCACTAGAAAGGAGTAGTTGTGGTGTCAGCATATTTGCTTGTGTTGTGACATTGACACTGTTTGTTTTTCCTCTTTTCTCTGCTGCTCATCATCTCCTTTTGTCCTGAGCTGAGGATTCAGACTGCAAAGCTTGCATCATTTTTACCTGTAACAGTGTGGTTTCCTGGTCTGGGACTTTTGCTAATCATTGGCATCAGGATACAGGATTGCCAGAACTGGCTTTTGTAAAGAGCCTTGCCCTGCTGCCCCTGTTCTTTTTAAGGCTCTCTAAGGTGCCAGGTCCTGGCAAGCCTCAGGGCATGGGGAAGTTCTAGGACACAGCCCTCTCCTGCCAATTCTGAGGACTGGAGAGGGGACAGCCTTGGATCTGAACCAGGATTGGAGTTGCTAGGTACTAAATCCCAGTGCTCACGTGAGCATTGGGATCTGGCACTGGGCAGTCCCGGGGTCTGGGACAAAGCTGCTCCCTGCCCAGCTGGCAGGATTGGTCTGGAGGCAGCTCCAGGTCCTGAACTTGGCTGCTTCCTGCTCTGTCTCTGGAGGTGGTCTTGGGTCCAGGATATCAGGTGTCTTCTTAAAAATGGGTGTGGAGCTGGGGATGGGGAAGCTTCTCATCCTCAGCTGTGTGTGCTGGTTTAAGAAGAAGGATGATTGCACCCAAAAGCTTGCTAAGAACTTTTTTCCAACTACTCAGTTGGTCTAATAAAAGATATCACATCTACTCAAAGATCCTTGCTTGGTTTAAAGAGGTGCCCAACATGAGCTACCAGGGGATGGGAGAGTTCCCTTATCTCCATCTCTGCTCTTCAAGGGCACATGAGCCTGGGGAGTCTCTCCTTGATATTGGGCATATGGTACCCAGGAGACTTGCACTTTGAATCAAGATGTAAAGTCAGCAGATACTGATAGGAGAGGGGGAGAAATTTCTGTGCGTGTTCTGTTCTTTTTCAGTTTTCCATAGCAATTGTAAGTTTGTTTAGCCTTGCATGGGGGCTGTCTGCTACCAGAAGAGACGAACAGCAGGCTTGGACTAAGCAATTGGCCCTTGTTTTTAATCTTGCTGCCTTTACACATTAGGCTTTACCCAGTGTTGGCTTTGAAGACCTGGTTTAAGAAGGAATCTGAGGAAAAAATGAACTTCCCTTAGATTCAAATGATTCTTTCCCTTTTCTCCTTTTTTTAGTTCTCATCTAATTGTTTAATCCTGGGGTTGCTGTCTGCCTTTTTTCTCTTCTCGCTTATTCATTATAAGAAATATGAAGTACGTTTCCTTAGGGGATAATGACTGCCTTTGGTCTGAAGCAGGGGTAGGCAAAATATGGCCTGTGGGGTGGATCCAGCCTTCCAGGCAGTCTCATCCAGCCTGCTGGCACCTATCAGCTAATTGTATCCAGCCAATGTGCCTCACTCCTGACTTTGTGCATGGAAGGGCCATGCACAGCCACCACACAGCTTCCAGGCAGGGCTGTTGCTGCTGCTGCCACTACTGCAGCCGCTGGGTGACCTGTTCGTCTTCCCCAGTGTCTAGTGGTGGCGGCTCCTGTCTCTGCTGCAGTGCTTGCTTTGGGCAGCAGGTAAGGAAATGGTGGAGGTGGAAGGAGGAGCTACAGCTGGACGAGGACAGGGAGCCTGAGGCTGCAGCTGTCAGGAGCACAGAGCCCATGTTCAAGGGGGTGGTGGGAGTGCAGAACTCGGGTGGGAAAGGTGTGGCTGTGAGGCAGTCAGGGGGTGCTCATGGCTTGGATAGACGCTGCCACCCAGCGGCATGCAGCTTCATCCAGCGCTGCATGTGGTGGCAAGGAGCACAGCCTGCCCAGCCTGCCTCTATTGAGTAGGGCTCCCCTCGGCACACGTGCAGGTTCCATACACTCGCGTGCCACCAGTGGGAAGCCCTGTGTGCTGGAGCTGGCTGCCTTCACCACCTACTGCAGTGCAGGTCTCGGGACTTCCCTCCACTTCTCATGGAGCCCCGGGACCTGCACAGTAAGGAGCAGGGAAGGCAGCTGGCTCCAGCTCGTGGGTGGCAAGCAAGTGCCAGAAGCTGCATGTGCACTGCAGGGAGTCCTGCATGAGAGGTGGGCCAAGCAGGCTGCGCTCCTTGCCACTACATACAGTGTTGGCTGCAGCTGTGTGCTGTTAGGCAGCAGCACCTGCATGGGCCACGAGCAACCCCTGCCTGCTGCTGCCGCTACTGATGACAAGGGCTGTGTACCATGGGGGGTGGGGAGGGGGGAGTGGGAAGGTCCCCACACACTCGTACCCTACCCCAACATACACCCCCCACAACATATGCCATGCCCCCCACTCACACAGCCACACTCTCTCACAACGCCCCCCCACCCATACACACAGAGACTCCCCCTAACTACACCCCCTCCACACACAATATACAGGACTTAAGACTTTATTTTTGAGTTCTTATGCAGTCACCTCTGTATACAGTATGCAAACACGAATCATGACAAATATTTTTGTAATAAAACAAAAATATGTTTTAATAGGTGTTTGACTTTTAATATATGATTTGTTTTGTTTTTTCTTGTTCAAAGATGGCAACCCTCCTCTCCGAAAAGGACTACTTCTGGGAGCAAGGGGAGGGACTTCTGATGGCAAAGGTCAGGGGTTAGGGGCTGGACTTCTGGACCAAGATGGTGACCCAGGGGGCTGGTCATATGTCAAGGGGCAGGCCCAAAATAATTGTCCAGCCCTGGTTTAAAGGCATTTCAGCTACACGTCAGGGTATCATCTTTCACCCAGTTGCTCATCTCTGAGAACTGACTCCTTCGTGAACCCTCTCCGCCTATCCTTCTCTGTTAGTTAGGCTTTCTGTGTAGGTCACATTTTCACTTACATATCTGTTTTCTTCAGTCTTGGAATATAAATGATGAAATGCTTGAATCCAGTGTCTTTTTTTTTTTTACACTTATGTAGCACTAGTGAGACTGTAGCAAAGTCTAATGTTTAATAGAACCACTGACTCCACTAAGATTTTTAGTTTTGGTAAGGAATTGAAGCAATTATGCAAACAAGGAATTCTTTGGTATATCCAAAAATGTCAGGCTGAGTAGAAGGATAAGACTCCTGTTTCTACTAAAGCACTTAGTTGGTTTCTCTCCCTGTACCTCACTGCAGCTTTCATCAATCTCTGGCTCTCTATGGGGAAGACTTCTTTTTAGAAAGTGTACACTATCTATTCAAAAGTGGCAGCTGTTGTCATTACGAAGGCATCTTGCCTGGAAAAACTGGAGTGGAGAAGAGAAGTTCTCCAGATAGAAAGCAAGACCAGTGAAAAGGATTAGCTGCTTTACTTCTGTCAGTTAAACGTATGCAAAAAACTGCCCTTGTTACCATTCTGTCCTGTACCAGTGGGGGCCAACCCTTTTGGTAGACGTGCCACTCCAGTCCCTATCCCCTGCCCCATAAGGTTGGTCAGCCCTAGCCTATACCATTGACAAAGCTTAAAATTACCTAAAAACAAACATTTTCTTTATTTTGCTAGTGAGGATTTTTTGGGTGGAGATAAAAATATCTGAAAAAAATACAAGGCCATATTTTCTTTGTTATATTAACTTTAACATATCCTGGTAACTAAAAAAAAAAAAAAAGTTAAATTTTGTAGCTTGTTTTACAAGACAATAAATGGTCTCTGTACTGTGAATAATAGAGCAGTATTAAACTGATGTGTTCAGAGTGCTCCTATGTCAGGTTCACTTGACAACAAACACAATTATTTCTCATTAAGTACAACATTAATAGTAAAACCCCATTTTTCTTTTGTGTTCGTATCATTTTGCTTGTATTAGTGCTGCTGCTGCCTCCACAACTTGATTGCTTCCAGAAAAGTTGAATGTTTTCTGACTGAGTTCATTTCTAGCCATTTGAATTAAGAAAATACATACCAATTTAAACTATGTGTTTGAATGAAAACAATTGGAATTTTAATAAAATTTCATAGTTGGGAGCTATGGATAACATTACCTAGCCTTGAATTTGCATAAGTGGAGGTAAAACCATGTATTAAAAAAAGAAAAACAACCCCTTCTTCCTCCACACTCTGACATAAAATGTATTATATTCTTGAGCAACTAAAATGTAAAGAATGGAGGGTGGAATGGAGCGAAATGCATAAAGACTATGTGGTGGGGGGCAGACTTAAATCAAGCATTTTGCTTTGTCCTAGATAACAAGATGCTTTGAAATGCATGCTTCTGACTTCTGCATTTCCATATTTAACATTTAAGATAATTTACTCTTTAAACCAACTGATGTTTACTAGTCAATTGCTTTTGAGACGCATAATGTCTTTGGGCTGGTAGACACACAGGGCTAGATTTATGTTGGGCTTTAGTTGAAAAATTCTGTATCCCATTAATGCTCCCGAGAGTTATTGCGCAGTTAAACTGAACTATAATAGAACCTTGTTTCTAGTCTTTTGTGGACTCTTTTTGCTTCTCTTTCAGATTAGTATGTGTGCGGGAGCTGTGGCTTATAGGCTGATCCCGTGTGTACTATATTTTCCCACACTTTTTTTTTTTTTCCTCTCCTCCCCATCCCAAACCAGCTAGGGGAAGTTGGGGTGTGCCATTATATGCAAGGAAAAGGGCTCCCTGTGGGTCTGGACATTTGGCAGTGGGGAGAGTGGTGGTGCATTAATTACTGCGGCTCTGGGATCCAGGGCAGTTAATGTTGCTGCTGCTCTTCTTGCACTTCTTGTCCCCCCACCCCCGCCAAATAGTGTCTGGACCCATGGGGAGCTCGACATCCAGCCAGGTGGGGCTGGCCTGTGGGTGGGCCCTGTATGCTGGCTCTGAAGGTGTCTGCTGGTTTGGACCTGGTGTGTCAGTCTGGGAGTGTGTTGATTTTAGCTGTCAAGAGTTTTTGGGTAAATCTGATATCTGTTATTAGACCAACTCAAGCTGTAGCATGCATCTCTGGAGCCAGCACACAGGGTTGGCTGAGCACGGTCTGGTTAGTTGTGCTGTGCTGGGAGGCATTGGCGCTGTGCGACAGGGCAGTTCTGGAATGTGCCAGAGCCATGGTGGCCAAATTCTGCCTGGTCAACCCTGCTTGCTGGCTCCAGAGCTGCTGAGACCAGACCCTGCATGGCTCCAATGCCTCTGTGGCTGTATGCGGCTCAGCTCTGGTGCATGGCCTCCAGATCCCAAGCCATAGTCTGCCAGCCCTAGTGTGCAGCCCCTGGCTCCCAAGCCTTCGACCCTGATGTGTGGTCTCCAGTTTCAAGCCCTGGTGTGCAGCCCCAGTCCCAGGCCAGTGTTACATGCTTGTACCCAGACTTCATGATAAAACTTTTGTTTTCTTCTTGGGGCTTTGAATAAGTAGTGTGCGTACTTTATTCTGGGATGTGATATATACAAGAAAAAGCAAACAAAAAACCATAGCGAGTAGTATGAATTTATTAATGAACCAGAACAAAAGACTTGACTTTTATTTTAGAGAAGCAAGGGTTTTGGCTATGTCTTTTATTGGACCAACTATATAGTTGGGAGAGGTGTCAGATGAGTTTTTGGGCACAAAACGCCCTTACTCATCTCATTCTTTTCCAGACTTGAAAATGGGCATTTTGCGGCCCAAAGCTAGTGGGGAGAGCTTTAGGTTATACATGTAGTCCAATGAAAGATATTGCCCTAAATCTCTTGCTGCTTTCCTAATTCCTGGACCATCACAGTAGGACTGTGCGAAGCTTTGGTCCCTGATTCGATTTGGTGGCTGAATCCAAATCAAATCAGAGGACCCTTGAATCTCTCCAAATTGAATCGGAACCCTCCAAATTGATTTGGACACAGACATGGCTTTAAATCTTTTTTTCTACATGCCTCTAGGTAGCAGGGGCTTGTGAGTGCTGCAGTGCTGGGGTGCATGGAGTGTCCCACAGAAGTGCGGGGGGCTCCCTAGGGTACTTGGCAGCAGACCCAGAAATGGACCAGAAGCAGTTCTGGTCCACTTCTGGGTCCACCAGGGAGGGATGTTTGGGGAGGGGCAGGGGGGGCATGTCTCCCTGACTCAGTGACTGGTGCCTCCTGGGTCTGGGGGGGACCTGGGTTCCCCCTGCGGCTGATGGCTGAGCCTGGGAGGTGGGGGTGGGGGGCCCAGCTGCTCCCTGGCAGACCAGGAAGTACTTCCAGTCCACTTCCGGGTTCACCAAGCACATGGAGGGCCTCCCCGCACTCCTGTGGGACACTCGATGCGCCTTAGCATCAGAGTGATCATGAGCTGTGCCTGCTACCTCAAGGTACATAGAAAAAACTTTTAAAGCCATGTCTGTGTCCAAATCGCTGATCCTCCAAATTGGCATAGAATCTTCCGATTTGGATTTGGCCAAATCGAATCGATTGACAGCGATCTGAATCAATTAATCGAATCACTCTCCCCGACTTGGGCAGAATCTGAATCCAAATCGAATAGGGCCTGCTTCGCACACCCCGATATCACAGCTATAACAACATTTATTTTTTACTTTTTTTGCTCAGATTGTATCAGTTAACTTTCTCCACTCTTGCAGTAGAATTTTACATTTTGTCTACTGGAAGAAGCTTTGTATCTTGGTATTTCATGCTACCTTGACAAGAGCTGTTGCTGTTTTTCTTAGTAAAACCTTGCTTACATAATAGTCTTTTCTTTTTTGACTAATATAAAACAAACAAATAAACAAACAAGTACTTGTCATATCCTATTCTGGTTGGTTTTTTGTTGCTTTGGTAGGGTAGTAGCATAATGCACAAAAGATAAATTGGGTGCTGAAGGTATTTAGACTAATGTTCAAAATCCTGAAGTAGCCAAGTTCAAGATCAAATGATACAAAACCAGTTGGTGCGTTTCTTTCCTCATGAAAAATGGAATTTTTCTCTCTTGGTGTTGATTTTTAATGTAGCATTTTACAGGTGCATTCTTTGTGATTCAGTGCTTCTGAATATGAGCATGTGGTGAAAGCCCTTGGCATTGGAATTGCATTTTACCAGAGAGAGGGGAAATGCACTGAGTAGCTTGGACAAATCTTGTCCCCAGTTTTTCTGGATGGGTAAATGATTGGAATGCATGTGATAT